AGAGACATAATTTGGAAGAAATCTGAGTCCAATGCTTCTGGATCTCCAGTGCTTATTTCATAAGTTACCAATGCCACCAATTGCCACCAGTACCAGTGTGCCATCAAGTTTGTGTCCACGAGGAAAACTCCAAGGGTGAGTGGTTGGGAAGAGGTCCTTGGAGAGGACTGAACTCAAGGCAGAGCTGCTGAAAAATGGAGGAAGGAGAAGAGGGGAAGGGGAAGGAAGTGTGAAGAATGATAGGAGGGAACATAGGGCCCCAGAGAGTGAAACTGAGGCATACTCTATCTTGAGACGTTAATCTCTTCCAAAATAGCCTGTCCTCTAGTGCAACTCCACCCTCTGGCCCTAACAACATTGACATTATCTGCAAACTCATTAGAAATGTAGATGCTCAGGTCCGACCTCCAACCTATCCGGTCATAACTTGCCCAGAAATCCAGGCCACACATATGCACATGGGGCCTAGTGTTGTCCAAAGCCTATGGCGATTCTGGAAGGATGTAGGCAAGAGACCGAGATGGCTCCTATCTCTCTTTAGTGACCCCTAGTGGTAAACCCAAAAGGTAACAGGATCTGTCCAGTTGGATGGCAGAAGTTTGATGTCCAGCCTGAACCAACAACTATCCAACCTTCAGCTAGCTGAGCTAACCAAGGCCCCAAGCCCTAAGAAGATTAGGATCTTAGCTGGCCATCGTGGTATAGAAAATCTGATGACATCTGATCCAAGCTGGAGTATTTTCTTGCATACTTCTGCTGTTGGAATTCAAAGGTAGCATTTCTGAATTAGGATTATTCTCTACGAGGGTCTGAAAAATACTGATACACAACTAACTTTACATCTCTTGAATGGAGACTCATCAAAATGACTCACTATCTACATTACCAAGTGCACCTCACAAAGTACCCTTGGTATGAAGGCATTATGGGAAAAAGTGTCTTTACAAACTGATCAGTATTCAACTGGTCTTTCAATTTATTTTTAGAGTTTTATGAGAGAAGTGCAAAATTTCAGGGCATTATAGAGGTAAAATAATTAACCTAGACATCATCTAGAGCATTTCCCAAAGTATATTTCATCTGTAGACTATTAATAGAAGTTACAATAAAAGGTTTCACGGAGAGATTAGTATAAGAAACATTGGGTTGAAAGCAGTTGGAAAGATTTCTATGCTGCTGTGTTTTTAAGAAATTAAGGTGCTCTGTGGCTCTCTCAAGTTATTGCTTCATAGCATGAGTGTGTGCGTGTGTACACACACACACACACACACACTTAAAAAAAATGCTCCTGAGGAAATCTCATCTATGAAGCCCTAGATGAGAAATATTTTGCCCCTTAGTCATCATGTGTTGGAGGAGTGTTCATGTCCCCCCAATGGAATCTGTTACTCTTTCACTTTTTTATGTCACACCCTAAAATCACTTCCCATCTTCAACTCTGATCCTGTCATCCATCCTTTTACCATTTTGTGCTCTGTAGATAAATGAGGGGGGACTATAAGGAGGGAAAAAGAAACAAGAGAAAAAGGAGAGATTGTAATGGAACTTTGCATCAGTTTGGAAGGGGGAACTTAGAAGTAAAACAAGCAAATGGAAACCTGATTTTTTTCTTTGCTGATTTCTTTCTCAAGCAATGAGCTACTGGGAATTAGTAACAGTGATGATTCATGTCAGCGTATATGCACTGGTTCACATAACCCAAATTTTTGCCCAGCATTGATGGAAACAAAGCATCTGCTTCTTCAATTCACGGCAGGCTTTAGACAGAGCTTGTACATGTGTCACAGCTTCTGTACGTGTCCGGCTTTTCTGGACCATTGGTGGTATGGTTGGTGATAGTGGTCTGTGTTCTTTAAGGAAGTCAGTCTACCATAAGCACTCAAAAATCTTGCGTATTGAAAATACCGTATTTTCTGGCATCCTTGCCTTTATTTGAGTTAATTCCCATTATATGCTTTTGGATTTGCCACTAGATACTGGAATGTTTGACTGTCAGTGATGTATTCTTGGATCTCCTTTCCTGTATTATTCAAGTTATAATTAGCCAAAAGTGATGCTGCACAAGATGTGGCAGACCAAAGAGAAACCATAGTCATGTGTCCTGAATGTCATCGTTGGGTGTGGGATGGAAGATATCAGTGAGTTTCAGTCTGTCCTCACCCCTCCCCACTCCTATCGACCTGTTCTGACTACCAGCCCTGCTGCCCAATGGCATTGCGAGGCCCAGCACCAGGGGCACTGCTGTAGACTCACAGAAGTGCTAACTTCAAAGAGCCAATGACCAGGGGTTGGGGATATCGCTCAGCAGCACCAGCGCCTATTTGGCATGCACAAGGTCCTGAGTTCAATTCCCAGAAAGAGCCAATGACCTATGGCTCCATGTGCCTTGATTCAAAATATCCTACAAATTCTGACTCATTTACCAGCACCAGGACTACGCAGTGACTGTCCTTCATTTCATGTCTTTCAAGGCCTTTTTCAGGTTTTTGTGGCTCTATCTCTGCCCATATTGTATAAAATCTAATCTCTCTATTAAATTCTTAATTCCAGAATATTCACAGTGGTTCTGCTTCTCTGAACCCTAACTTTCTCAAACACACACACACATACACACACACACACACACACTATTCACAGTGGTTTTGCTTCTCTGAACCCTAACTTTCACACACATGCACACACACACTAACCCTGGATTTTACGCTCTTCTCTCTAAATTTTTTTTTTTTTTTTTCTGGTACTGGGGATTGAACTCATGACCTTGTGCTTGCCAGGCAGGCACTGTGCCACTGAGCTAAATCCCCAGCCCCTTCTCTCTAAATTTTGATGTTTCTTATTGGGATGCCCTAACATCTGATTCACATTGCACTTTACTCTTCTTATTGGGACTGTGTTCATGAACTTTCCATTGCTGTGACAAATACCCGAGATAAGTGAAAGGAGGAAACGTTTATTTTGGCTCACGGTTTCTGAGCTTTCAGCCCATGGTCACTTGGCCCTCTGGGTCTGTGATGGCATGGTACATCATGGTGAGAACATGTCCTCAAGAATGCCTGATCACCTCATAGTGTGAGGAAGAAGGAGAGGTAATGACTGGGCTTCCAATACCCCCTTCAAAAACACATAAGTGAAATAAATCAGACTCGCATGTATAAACATCAAATTGTCTCCCTAGTGTAAGAACCTGAAAGAGTAAATAAGATCCAAAAGCTACAATAGATACTGTGAAAGGGAAAGAAACTGCTCATAAGGAAAGAATAACTGGGACAGGGGAAAGGAGAAAAGAAGGAAGGGATATGCACACACAGAAGATAACTAAGATAATTGTACTACGAATTTCTATTAGTTTATTGCAAGGAACAGTTAGTGCTTATATTGTTTAATCAATTTTACATGCCTGGTTTATCTGGTAATCTGAGAAACTACTCTGAAGATAATATAATGCAATATAAAAATCACTGGTAATTTTCTATCATCTTGTTTTGAAATTCTGTATTGTTTTTATTTTTTTTTATTCTCTAATAAAAACACCCCCAATGGCCTCACTTCCTTCCTTGCTAGACTCCATTTCCTAAATGTTTCCCTACCTCCCAGTAGTAACACAGAATTGTAAAAAAGCCTCTAACACATGGACCTTGGTGAAATGTTCCAGGTCCAAACTATAACAAGGCTCATCTGACTTCTTCCCTAGCCTATGTTTTTGCTTTGAACCGCCTGCCCTGGAATGGCATCTCTCATTTTTGCCTCCCTCCACAGCCTGTGGTTCACTTCATTTGTGAAGGTCCCTAAGAAGAAAGCAGGTCCCTAAGAAGGGACCTAAGAAGGTCCCTAAGAAGAAAGCAGGTAACCAAATGGTGTGTTCATCCTACTAAAGAACTTAACAGCTATATGGAGAAGGTTTTACTCTCTGTGGCTGAACATTTAGTCAGGAGTTTGTAGTGGAAATAAAGATAATAAAATGTGGTTGAAAGAGCATGATCTTTCTAATTGGGTCTGTGAGAACATCTAATTATAGGGTGTAGTTTAATTTGCTTCAGGTGCTAATTTTTAGCTCTTAATAATATGTGATGTTAGGAAGACTGCTCTTCAATCTGGGTGTGATGGTAGAATGCTAGTTTCTAGACATCAACCTTGGGTTGATCATAGGGTCATAAAATCCTTGGGAGTAAGTGAGTGCTCTGGCTTCCTTAGAGAGAATGCACTGCACATGACATTTAAAAAAAGAAGGGAGATTATAGGATGTTTTATCAGAGCAGTGCTTCTGGACAAGGTCTGTAGAGATAGAGGTTAATTTACAGCACAATGACAATGCAAAAGAATTCTTGCTTGAGAGCTGTCCCAAAGATGCCTGCTTGTCACAATGCAAATGCATTTTGTCTCATACAGTTGCAATCTGTTATGATCTAATAGATAAGACAGCCCCAACAATCTGAGCCCCAACCTATGGTTTATTGCAAAATATTAGTTATATGTCTCTTAGCAAGTTTACTTAAGCATTCCTTCATCAGAGGGACAAAATCTGTTCTTCAAATTCTCCTTTAAAACAGCCTTAATATTTCACTAGTCCCCTCATCCATGAATGAGTTGCAAACAAGTATGGCAGTTATACAATTTTATACTTGTATGACAGTTATATTTTTAAGTTAGTAGTTCGACAGCCAAGGTGATAGTTGTTGTCTCATTCATATTTGCTTTATGGTATTTGTATGACAATATAAACCAAGTTTGACATTTCAATGTTTTAAAAATAATTCTGAGAGGCAGTTCTCTTCTATGCATTCAAAAACATTTGGGTGTCTTACCACCTAGCCTCAGTGTGCTACGTACTAGCACACACATCTGGGGAGGTTAACGAACCACCGGGGACAGGTGGGTCATCTGCCTTGACCCTACATTCGTTACACTGATAAAGACAGGCCCAGACAGACACTGACTCCTGGAGTTTGGAACACCTGAATCTCTCAGCTCCTCTTTTAGGATCAAGTGGTCAGGAAAGGGCACAAGACAGTAACAGTGGACATGCTGAAGGGCAGCGAAGAGTTAAGAAGGATCGTAGTACTGTTTTATTAAAACAAATGAAGGAAATAAACAAATCAAGCACCTATTTACACAAAGAAGTTAAAGCTCCGGGGATTCATTTTACATTCCTCTTGCACTTTGTCATTACCCAGGGGCTCTTGTCATTCAATTCTTCACTGGATTTATTTATAACCAGGTGTCCTCCACTCCTCTCTAAAGCAAAGTCCCTTGAGGTTGGGGACATCTCCCATTTTCCCTGTGTTCTCCTGTCCATCTTTCTTACATCCTGGCCGTCTCTGTGCCTTTGGAGGTGACATGCTCTTCCTCCATTATCTGGAATGTTCTGTGTGCACACATACTTGGTACATACGCACATGCGCACATGCACGCATACACTCCGTGACTCCTGCTCATCCTTCAGGTCAGACAGCATTTCTCAAGGAAGCTTCTGTGGCCATTTGAGAAAAGAGCAGGCCTCCTGTTTTGCACCTCACAGATCCTGTGCTTTTCCTTCTGGGCTCTTGTTTGTCATTATTTCTCTCTCCCATTGTCAATAAAATCCGGGATCATTGTATCACCACTGTATCCCCAGACCTGGCACAATGCCTGGTACATAGAAGGTGTTCTTGAATGAATTAATAAGAACTCAATGCGTATTTGTTACGCGGATGAATAGATGGTTGTTTGGGCTGTTCTAGTCCCTAAAAGCAAAAGAAGCTGTTAAAATAGTGTGACTTTGACTTACTACTACTGTCTGAATAAAAGAGTCCATTCAAATTTGGGACTGAGTTTGATAATGTGCTGTGCTGGTGAGCTGTGGGGAGGCATTCTCATGCATTCCTGGGGGTGAGCTGGTAAATCTCTTGGGGAAACAATTTGGTAAAAGCTTTAAAGATTACAGATTAATAAACCTTTTGACCCAATAATTCCACTTGTATATATTTGCACATTCATGAAATAATTTGTGTTCAGGAATGTCTATTGTTGTAGCTTGTGTAACAGTAAACTATTAAAATAAAGATAGGGGACTAATTAAAGAATGGAAGGAAAATTCCAAGCAATCAAATACACGGCAGTCATTAAACAGAATGAGGTAGGTTTGTGTGTGTGTGTGTGTGTGTGTGTGTGTGTGCACTTAGATACAAAAGATGAAATGATTATCATACTGATTAAGTGAAAGAGAATTGCCAATGTGTATGTGTACATGTATGTATTTATAGGATGTTTCTGAAAATATCTATGGCATACTGGTAACAGTACTTTGTTTGTTTGTTTTTACTGGGAATCGAATGCAGGGCCTTTGTATTGAGTTACTTTTTTTTGTTTGTTTGTTTTTCTCCAGTACCAGGAACTGAACTCATGACCTTGCGCTTGCCAGGCAGGCGCTTTGCCAGTGAGCTAAATCCCCAGCCCCTGAGTTACTTTTTTTTGAATAGGGTCTCACTAAGTTGCCTAGGTTGGGTTTGCATTTACTATCCTCCTGCCTCAGGTTCCCAGAGCTGGGATTATAAGCATGTGTTCCATGCACGACCAGTAATTGCTTTGAGGAGGAGAAGGAGATGTATGGCTCAAAGACAAGGGTAGGAAGGAAGATTATGTTTTATAGCGCACACATTTTTTAACTTTTAATTTTGTGCCATAATCATGCATTACATATTATAGAAATTAACAGGTAAAGTCTTATAAATGTAAAAAACCATTAAGAGTTCATGAATTAACTTCGTATATATATGAACGAGATTCAATGTGGATTAAATTTCATTGATGTTTCTTTGATGTTTTTGAACCCAGATTTCACCTGTGTATTTCCACGTCGCATTGACATAAGCAGTCCCTACAATCATTCCTTCTCTTCTGTCTCCCCGAAACCTTTCCATCTTCCCAACATCCCCAAAATCTTACATCATTTAGGTCCAGGGAACCCCTGCTATGGGAGGGCCAGAAACAGCACTGCATCTGGATGGATACTGAGGCCCATGAGACGAAAGCTCACCACCCTCGTGGAACCTGCCTGGCGCCTCCTGGCCCACCATATTGACTTTGGCAACTCTTGTTGCCCTTGTCATGCCAATAACGTTACTGAAACTAAATTGAATGAACATGTGGCCATGTCCTCCAAATGTTTTCTGATAGACTTAAATGGAAAACTGTAGATTACATTTATTTATATTGTGATAAACCCTTTGTTTATGTTGTTAGTGATCCAGAAAAAGTGGTCTCCCCCAATGCACCATGACCTAAACAACGACAAGTTGAATTACTATTTCATTTACCATAGGAGACTTTCTACCATGTGTCTTGCAGCAATGGGTTCTGACACAGCTTAAGAAATGATAAATTACACCCAACAAAAACAAAAAAGAACTGAACGTTTCGTAGTAGGTAATTGTAAAGAAAACAGTTATTTGCATCGCCCTCTCCCACATTTTCAAAAAAAATGAAACAAAAAAGACCCAAGAATTATAAAAGCAATTTCATTTTCCCCTTATAATTAGAAACATTTGGGGAAAGCACTTTGTCCATTCAAACTTCATATTCATGACTCAGTTGTACATAGGGCATGTTACCATAACTTCTCCTCTTATTTCACCATTATTTCAATTTTTACAAATGACTGATGTTATGTAGTTGAAGCTAAAGTAGCAAAAACAAGAGCACTCTGGAATGTTCAAGGGCATTCTATGAAGTGTTGCCCTTGTCTGCAAGTTCATAGAAAAGTGGGAGGCAGGGAGAGAAATGCTTTCCACACCTGTTCAGTAATAGTTACTGTGAGCTCATTTAGATGAGGACAACATGAATTTCCGGTCATCATAAAAGTCAAGATTTGGTTTGAAATACTCACAGGCTATCATACATCAAATAATAACTTAATTCATTTTAGACAAGCATATAGTATTCCACATCCTTTTTTTTTTTTTTTTTTTTTGTCCATATCCTTTTTTTGCTTTGAATTATCCCCTCAATTGTCTGAAGCCTCTTGAAAGAAATTCAGTGCTTGTTACCTGGTCTCTGAGATAGATGCTTTCATTGTTAAGAACCAGTAATGGTTTCTACTTTCCAGGAATAACTACTTTAAAGTTTTATTAACTCCCTAAAAGCTAAAAGTGATTATTTTTAAGTTTCCAGAACTTGGTCTGTTTATACCAACCTAGATCTGCAGATAAATGAGTTCAGTAATGTAGAGGTTCCTTCCCTGTTATGGTTTGGTTCTAGAATATCTCCCCACAAAGGTTCATGTGGTGAAATCTTGGTCCCTAGCTGGTGGTACTGTTGGAAGACTGGGCCTAGTGGGAGGTAGTAGGCCACTGGGGATATGGTCTTGATTGGATACTGTCATCCTGTGCTCTCTGTCTTTCACTTTTTCTCTTTCTCTTGTCTTCCTCCTTCCTGTCGGCCATGAGGTGAGCCATTTCTCTCCACTATGTGCTCTTTGCCATGATGCTCTGTATTGCCATAAGCCCAGAAGTAACAGAGCCAGGTGACTGTAGGTAGTCCTTCCCAGACCTCATCACACTCCAGGAAGTTTATATTTGTAATCCCAGGGGAAAGTTACTGAAATTCCAATTAATTAATTCCAATCTACCACTTCCAGTGCAATCATGGTGAGAATAAAAAATGAAGGCATGTTTGTAGTTCTGGGGAGCCAAGGGAGTCCTAAGTCCAGCTAGAATGATGGCCATCCAGAGCAAAGGCCTCAACCCAGAGCCAAACCCAGGTTTCATTAATTCATTAAAAGGCATGTGGCTCAGGGATGAGTGACTGTGAGAAAGGCAGAAAGTAGGTGAGTGGTTGTTATGGTTTGTGTCTGTGTGTCCCCCCAAAGCCTCATGCGGTCATGGGGCAGGCTTTTAGAGTTTGATTGATTATGGATGTGAGAGTTACACCCTGCTGGGGTGGATAGTTTGCATATGTAAGAGAGGGGAAGAAGCTGCTTGAGGCCATTCCTGGCTTTTGTGCTTTTTGCTTTGCTGTGTTCTGCCGCCCTGAGCTGTAGCCCTCTGCCATGTGCCACTCTGCCTTGTAACCTGCCAAGTATGGACTGAAACCTCTGCAAACTGTAAGCGAAATAAACCTTTCCTTCCTTAATTTTGGGTGTCAGGTATTTCGTCCCAGAAACGAGAGAAAAGTAACCAAGACAGTGGTGTGAGCTGGGCTAGGGAGGAGACCTGAAATCACCTCTGCAATATGCAGAGAGATATGCAGAAATAGTAATCTGCATATCACAGATTGGGGCAGTTTTAGTGTTTTGGGGTCAGTGCTTCCGTTCTGATGTGCAGTTGTCATGCCCTGAGATGTTACAGCTTCTTTCTTGAAGCTCAGTCCCAGCTGACAGACAGTGTGGTCAAGCTCACACAAATTACTTGGGAGATTTTAGGTGGGATATTGCCTTAAAGACTACATATCATCACCTCAGCTAGACCCATTTGCATTACTTAAAGCCAATTAAGGAGATAAAGACAAACCTTAGCCATCTTTGTACATATCAATGCACAGAAATAGAGCCAGGTTTAGCCAAAATGGAGACAATTGCTCTTCTTTCAAGGAGAGCCATCCTGGTGGTCCTCCACAGGTGACTATGGACTGACATTTCTGAAACCATTCATCAAAGTAAAACTTTCTTCCTTTAAGTTGATTTCTCTTAGGTTTTTTGCCATCATGATGGAAAGCTAAACTGTAGCACATTCCCCAATTCAGTTATTTTAGTAGGTTCACTGAGAAGACATGTTTTCTACTGCACTTGATCCAAGATAGAGGTCTTATGTAGCTCCAATGACTATTCCTGTTTTTATATTTTTAGTGATTTAAACCACCTTTGCTAGGTTTTATGGCATCATATATTGAAGATGTGATTAAGCAGTTATTCCCATGCTGGAGTTGCTGTAAGATTATTTCCTCATTAAAATTGTGATTCTATGAATGTCCCACCTCTGTTCACATTTAAGCTGGTGTTCCCAGTTGGACTCCTTATGTTCACCACAGATGTTTTTCCCTTTTGTAGAGCTGGAAATAGAACCCATGGCCTCACACATGCAAGGCAAGTGCTCTACCCCTGAGCCACGTCTCAGCCCTCTCCACGGAATGTTAATCTCAGCATCCACTTCTGTTTTTTACAATACAGATTCCCTTCTCATAAAGATTAACAGTTTTTAGCAGCAAGAAATTGAAAACCCTATCCCCAGTAGCAGAGGCAGCAGGGCTGTTTTGTTTACCTGACAAGAATTTGTAGATAGGGTATCTTAAAATGGGACTGAGAGCTTCCTCAGTGCCAACAAGGGCATGGACTTCTCCACCTTGTCTCTTACCCTCTCTAGCTTATTAGCATTTTAGCCTCATCCTTGTAGCTTCATGACAGGAGTCACTGTACCAGATATCACATACATATTCCAGAGAGGATAGGGAAGAAGCCATATCAACATCTAGCTTCTCACACCACTTACTTTATCAGCAAAGCAAAATCTTCCCTAAGAACCTAAAAGAAAATTTCCCCTTAGGTTTTTTCAAGCATACCTGAATCATTTGGCTGCCCTTGGCTGCAAGGAAGATGATGAAATTGCCTGAAAAAGATAGACAAGGCAGATGGAGTTGGAAAGAGCTGTTGGGTTAGCCAAGCAATGAGTGATTGCTTCAACAAAAAACAGATTTCTGGGATCACCTGCTTAACCAGAGCACTGCCTCGGCTGTTACTTTGCTTATAGAATTGTCAGGCATTCTGTATAGTCTTCTGGAAATTCAAGATCTGGCCTCGAAAACTCCCAAATCACTAGAGAATGTGCATTTTTGCTCCTTGTAGAATCACTGTCACTTAACTGAATATTAGCTCTCCATCTTGAACCCATGCAGTCTGTTACACAGCAGGAGCCAAGCCCACAAGACCCATTGAGCTTTGTTATAAAAATATTGTGAGGACAATTTCCACTCCTTACCTCCTGCTCCTACTGGGGAACCCTGTGAGGTTTCCTTTAGCATTCAGGGCTGGAGAAGAGTCACCTGCCCTAGGGAACATGGCGTGCTTCCCTCTGTCTAATGACATAAGTAGTGTGAGGGGAGGTTTTTCTGCTTAGCCTTGTGTACCAGGAAATGCAGAGCTAAACCTGAACCATGACTGCAATAAGCGCACAGTCTCCAGAATTTGCCTCCTTGTTATGTGTGACCTATTTGTCATTTAGTTTTGATTTATTGCCTGTTGTGACCCACCTTGGATTTTTGGATTATCTGTATAGGAGGAATAAGGGAAAGCCGAGGTCCCTGATGTCACGCTGGATCTCATAATGCCTTGGACTGCATAACTCTGAGCTTGAGAGAAAAATGAACCTTTTCATGGTTTAAGCCTAAGTTTCTTTCCAAATAGGACTAAAGTCAGTCCTGAGATACATCCTGGGTAAAACCACACCCACTGGAATCAGCCTTCGCGTGTCCCAGGAATAAGACAATGTGCCTTCCTTCGTTGTGACCGTCTCCCTCTGACTCAGTCCCGGCTTGGGGCCTTCTTAGTGAAAGCTGTCCATGGGATTCTCTCTCACTTTCATTTTTCTAAACTTCCTGGAAATCAAGCAATCTTGTTCTTTCCCACACATGACATTAAAAAATCCCTAAACAGCTGGGTTCATTTGAGTTCTTCTATTCAGCAGATTTTGTATTAGTCAGAGCAGAGTCAGGGATGTAACAATCCCAAACTCTCAGTGACATGCAACTAGTAACAGGATTGTTTCTTGATCATATCACAGCCCACTGACTCGCACTGGAAGAATGATTTATGGGAATGCTTGGAACACCAAGGAGAGAATAGAGAACATTCTAGAGAATGCAGTGTTCTACGGATGTGTCCCAAAGGCCTTCCCCAAAGGCCTCACACTGCTGGGCTATGGGGAAAATCCTGCCTGTACATATACTTACTTTGTTGGTCAATACTGCCCTTTGTATTGTAAAATTTGCTGGCTGTTAAGACATAGAAGAATGTGCATTTCATGAAGTACATCTGACTGCTCTTGAAAGGCAAAGCTGTGGCCACTAGGCCACTTTCTTTCATGCTGTCCCTAGCACCAAGCAAGGCCCCAGTTATAGAGTAGCCCCTTTCTCACACAACCCACAACCAGTGAAGCTGAGCAGGCCCTAGGGCAGCGCACGACCAGGCCTTGCTGGGAATCCATGAATCTCTGAGTTTGAAATCCTCATGGTTTTCCAAGGAAGCGTGAGTGGCAGCCATCAGCTGGAAAGAGTGTAATAATGACACTTCAGTTTTGCATTTAACAGAATGCCTGCCCAACCCCTGATTAATTTGCAATCCCTTTGGTTCTGGGGCTCCAGCTGATACAAGTGAGAGAGGGTTGGTGCATAAGGAATGAGGTGAGACTTGGCTGGGAGGTCAGAGAGGCTTCTCCCACTGCAAGGGCAGAGGTGCAAGCTCTCCCTTTCTGAACTCACAGACTGGCTGGTTAGTTACGGTCAGCATCCCAGGTGAACAGACCCACCCAGATCACAGATGGGCTTAGAGATAGCTATTCAAATACTAGTGCTAGGGGCTGGGGATTTAGCTCAGCGGCAAAGCGCCTGCCTGGCAAGCGCAAGGTCGTGAGTTCGGTTCCCGGTACCGGAGAAAAACCAA